AGTAAAGTAGGCTCAACACACTGGTCCTATGCATCATCCTGTTGCCATGGAACAAACACAAACAAATGCAACTATTTTGTGTACGACGTAGGAATAGAAGCAGGAGCTAAAATGCCAACTCGGTCATTTTTTCGTGGACCCGTTGGTGCAGGTAAATTACCGATTCATTTTCTAAATTTAAAGCTTGTAATGATAGAGTAAAGACTCTTTACTCCGACGAAGGATTAACGTCCGAAACGTCATTAAGTTATTTCACCTACTTTTTTACGGTGTTAAATTTACTCTTTTTACACAACTGTTTCTTTAGAAACACCGACGCAGCTCACACTACTTTACCGCTAGTCTTAGCCTGCATGGCGGCTCTAGGGGAAGGGGGAGGGGGAAAACGGAAGGGGAGGGGGTTTTCTCCACCCCCCCCCCCCCCCCCCCCCTAAAGCCGCCACGCAGGCTACGCTAGTCTCCACTATTTTGTGTATGGACATCCCGATTTTAAATCTTCTTTTTGAGAAATAAATGGAAATAATGACTCCTTTTACTCTGGAAACTCACTTTTGCGAAAATTAACGGCAGTCTGAAATATGTCCGTTGTAAAGAGGGAGCGATTACCCTGTCTTCAAATACTAAAATGGATGGGGGGAGACAAATTATAGTAATTCCAGTATAAGGTAGCTTTCATCCTAAATCGACGCAAACTCCGACGCATCTCACACTAATTTACCGCTAGTTCTCACGATTTTTGAAAAGGTCTTAAAACAGAAAGCATTATGAAATAATAAATTGAAAAGATATTAATGATCGTAAATTTATTTTCAACTTTTAGGAGAGGGAGGTTGGGGAAAAGCCTCATCACTCAACTACTGGTCCCAGGTGAGCTCGGGACAACCAGGGGACATCATTGCTGGTCATAGAAGTGGAACGTACCATGTGGGAATCTACGTTGGCAGTAATATGGTTGTGTCAGCCAACAGCAATGATATTGGAAAGAACGAAAATATGTTTACACAGGGCTACCAAGATCTTGTGTATTGGCGCTACCAAGGTTGAAGCATGCGCAGAAGCTTCACATTTCCTGTACTTGATTTGATCTATTCATAAACATAAGTTCTAGTTGTATAAGTAGAATATCGYTCGATTTTGTTAGAATGGGGCTATAGATTAATATTGTACTGCATAATAGCCGAGTAAAACTTAAGGTGTGTCACAGTCTCCTCTCGCAGTTATTACGAGGTTCGTTCCCAAGTCACTGTCTCCTAGTGGGAGAGACCTAGGAACGAACCTCGTAACGACTGCGAGAGGAGACTGTGTCATACTGTACGTATTAAAACGCACACGTTGACAGAGCGTTAATCGATAAGCAGTTTGAATAAAATATTAAACCTTTGAATTGATCGTTAATTGTAGTTTTATTTAGTTGATTTTTCTATTCCCTTCTTGTTATTATCATTGCTATCATCATCTATCATTGATCTCCATCATTATCATTATCATTACCATTGTCATCATGATCATCAAATTTCTGAAAGACCATTCGGAAAAGCTTAAAATGATTAAAGTAGTAATAACTGTGTTTATGGCATTGAAATAGAGAGAAAATGACAACCCTTTTTTTGCAATTTTAGAAACAGTAAACATTTCTTGATCAAGTTTGAAATACAATGACATGCAAAATTATTGTTTGAGACTGAGTTTGATATCAAAGATTATTATCTAGAACGGAGTATAATATGAAGAATTATTGATTTTTGGTGAAGTTTTTTTATGTTTACCTTTTCCTGGTTGCTTCCAGTATCAGCTGACATTGTGAAGTATTAGCTTCGATGATAACACCTTTTTTCAACCCAACGTCAAAATATCCTGCATCCAACAAGTGCTATATTGACATTTAAGGTAATCTACAAGGTGATTTGAAGGAAAAAAATGGATAAATTGCCTAAAGGTATTTCAATTACATCTGCTAAAAAAAAGAGATAAAGGACAAGGAAATACTATTAGAAAAAATGGTAAAAGCTATCTAAACACTGATATCATTAAATAAATAGGACTCATACCTTTGCAATTCCCTGAGTGACATGAAAAATGCAGCGAATGTTTCCAGCTACATTTATTAACAAACAACACCAATAAACAAGAATATCCATTCTTGTTATTTCCACAATAAACTCTTGTTTTAAGTGGGAGCCTTACAATCCATATGCTAAAGTTCTGTCAAGTAGACCCTCGGAGATTAATGATGATAATATTATTAAATAACTAGTAATAATAACATAGCAGCAGCAATAATCTATTCAACAAAATCAATAAAACAAACTTTGCTCACCTGAAAGTTAAGAAGACTGTAACAGCTCGTGGTTCCACTTGAGTTTTGATCATTTTCTGATGCCATTTTCATTGTCGATAAGCGTACAGACCATAGAAAAGCGATTTCGATTTGTTAAATTCGAAGTGATCGACTATTATTATGCCAAAGTGATATCATCAACAAGCCCATTAGCAACAGAGCTTCACAGTTTACGTAGCTTACAGTCAATACTTTAGTGTTAAAATATATTATCCGATTTACAACCACACAACTTTTCATCACTAGGCAATTTCACCCATCAACTAGAAAATTTTAATTTTAAAATTACTAGAAAATTTTAATTTTAAAATTACTTAAGACCTCATTTGTAAAAACTGGAACTGTGATTGCATCCCAATATTCAAAGTGGCATTACTGTTTATTTATAAATTTGCTACTTGTAAAGTGTATAAATATGGAATATAAAATAAATATTCACAAAATGCCAAATTATCACTGCACACCTTTCATTGTTCAGAATTCAATTGAAAAGAAAATTTAAATTTATATAAGCTTATAGCTTAATTTACAAGGTTCAAGCCCTGTTTCCATCAAAAAATTTCAGGACTTTTCAAGGCTCAATTGAATCACCTTTAAAGCAACTTCATACTGTGTATTGCATCAAATTCAAGGATTTTTCCATGAGTATTAATGTTGTTTCACACTTTTCGAAGAATTTCAAAGTGATTTCTGAAAAAATTTCAATATTTCACTTTGCTTTAATTTCAAGGACTTCGCAATGGACCCTGTAAACCCCCCTTTTAGGCCAAGTAAAAAAAAACATATGTTTATCGTCCCCGCCCGCCTCCTTTTTTCGGGCCGCATGGATTTTTTTATTATTTGTTACAACATCAGCTTTAAAATAAATACGAAGAAGATAAACAAAAAAAAAGCGACAGGCGTTCCTTTTATTTCGAACCCAGTTCCCCAATAGTGAAAATTCCAAGAAAAATTAAACAACATTTATGCTACGTTTATGCTATTACCTCGTAGGTACCTGGAGTCGTCATTATATGGTTTAATGCTGTGAATAAAACAACTTATGGAAAATAATAAATAATAAAAAAACCCGCCCGCCCGCATGATTTAAAAAAAAAATTCGGACGATAAACATATGTTTTTTTTTACTTGGCCTTAATTCGCTGCAGCTCATATCTAGTAAATCAAAATTGTATGATTTATAGTTTAATACTCATCACCATTACTGCATCGGCCACAGGCAAGCTCMTTTTTCAAGCTTACATTCATCGATCTTGCACATCATTGCGTCATTGCCTGTATGCATATGTCAGCTTTGCACATTTCAAAGCTCAAGCCTTTTAATGCTATCCCATCCTAGCAGTTTTAAAGCTAAATCGATTAATCTTGAGAAAGATCTTTTTGTTGGATTGACAATTTAAAAGAAAAAAACGACACTTTTCTTGTTTCCGCTGGATCATTACTTTTTGAATTTGCCGCCATTTTGTTTGCGTCACGAGAAATCTCTCTTCGTCAAATGATCATTCTGCAGCAAAATTAACTTTTTCTTGGCGCATAAACGTAAATTTAAGAACTACTTAACTTAAATTGACCTCACTTACCTAGAAAATACATGGAAGAACCAAAATAACGTCTTAAAAGTTGAAAACAAAGGCACGATTTCCAAGAACTCCCCTTGTTCCTGTGGCGCAAGGCATGACCACCGGTCGGCTTGTGTTCGAGAATCTTTCGGAATCCTTCGGATATAYAGAAACAGGAAGCCCAAAATTCAAAATAAAAAATTCTGAAAAGAAGAAAAATATTGAAACTCAACTATTGAATACACAAATATACAAATTATATAGACAAATTCTTTCAGTGCCGATAATGGCATTCAAGATACCGAAAGAAAATATTAAGAAATGAAGAAAACTCTGGAAACTTGTGTCCAGTTCTCTTCKCTTCTTTCTAGTAACGCCTTWYAGAAAKAAYCATTCTACGAATCCAACATGGCGAGTGTAAGGTTTGGAACTCCTCCTCCGAAAGATGAGAAAAATCCAGCGTTGTCKCTTATGCTTTCAATGGCAATGACAACTGCAACTTATCCGCTTACTTCAGTGAAATTATTAGTYCAGGTGAGTRTAGTGTTTTRGYGTWTTWGGTWATTTGRTGTCARCATGTGCATACTCCCTTATCTAAAAGGGMTTCCGCGAACTGTTATTATAATAAACACAATAGATTTATTATGAATCTGTTTGATCAAAAGGTTTTCCCATATTGATATAAGAAAGATTTCAAATAGACTCCTCATGTTTCTTGCAACAACGCAGTGATATATTTGAAGTTCTTTGAATGAATTTGTTTCATTATCCATGAAATTAACTTATGCCATTTGCATAAATATTATTCGCCACCCTTCAAATATATAATCCATTCCTTCGTGCGTATCGTTTTTATCTCAGTTTATTTGTATCTACATTATAAATTTACTTGTCATTTTGTGCCAGTAATTTTGATGATTATGTAACTTCACATGGTTTTTAGGTTGGTCATGAACCTATACCTGCAGTTGCTACGAAAACCTTTTTTGGGAATACAGTTATGAGGCTACCAGGCCTTTTTCAGTATGGTGAGATACATAATTTGCTTGCACTGAAATGTATTTTAAGTACAGTATAATCACAGAAGCGTACAATTTACATGTATTATAACAAAACAAGGGAATACTCCAGTTTGGAGATCTTATTTGTGCAGTCTTAACCTCAAAAGCATGTGATATATTCTTTTATTCAACAGAGAATCTATTATAATGCAAAACTCTGTGTACAAAAAAGACAATAAACATTTATGCTTGATTGAAGCTAAGCTTGCATAAAAGAGAATTCGAAACTGGAGTATTAAGAGCTACACTGTAACCATACATTACAACTAGTGTGAGCTTTGCATGAGATTTCTATTGAGAAACAATGTGATGATTGGAGAACTTATCAAACTGGTCCTTCTGCAAAGCAAACTTCAGCATGTCAAAAATAGACAGCGCTGAACTAATTTGTAATAAAGGACCAAAGCTTAAAACATCTAAACTTTTGTAGTTTTAATGAGCTTAAGTCTCGGTGTCTAGATGCTTACATCAAAAGACAAGTCATTATAACAAAAAGGAAAATTATTATCATTTTTATGTAAACAGGTAAACACTTAGTCAAAACAGATGGCTATCTTAGATTGTACAGTGGTCTTGTCCCAAGGTAAGGAGTTGCATTTTGTTTTCCAGTTTGCCATATAACAATTATATAAAATATGAGCGGGAGTCTTTGGGGTTATCATTTTTAAGAACAAATCGAAACAAAGACAT